TAGGCCCAGTAACAGAGTACTCTGTTATACAGAATAGGGCACAGTCCTGTGCTAAGCAAGCTATCTACAAGGAAGTTTACTTTGGAAAGTGACTTCTCTAAATTCTGACTGCTGTCCCCAACTACTTATGAACCATCAAGGCCTTTGGAGCCTACAGACCACTGGATTTCATGATAAAGATCCCTCCATGCCCAAGCTTCCAGACTGTTGCCTCATACTACTGTTTCATGGCAACTTGACCTTTCCCACACAAATGAAAGTACCTTAAAGGGCAATAGGTGTGTCTTTCGCCCATTTGAATCTCTGGACCTAGCTCTATGTGGGGCCCACAGACAATCCTCAATCTGAGCTGGTAATGTCACTACAAATCTGGGATTGAGGAAGAAAAGACGACAGATACTGGGTCTGTACTGATAACATGTTGCTGCTAAGGTATCCCCTTTAGGTTCTTAATTGAGTTTCACAAGTAGCTTTTCTGGACCTAGCATTGCGCTAGGCATCAAGAATCCAAAATGAGTAAGATAATATAGTTCTTGCTATCAAAGAAGTTCTCAATCTAATGGCAGGGAGTCAGGTTATATTCCAGAGAATAAAGTCTTCCCTAAGGCATGTTAGAACCCATACCAAATGGCAGCTTGGGCATATTCTGAACTCATTTTTTGTTCCAGGGCCACTCCAGCAGGAGAAGCCATGTACTAGAGATACTCCTGCAAGATGCTCTTGTATTTTCAAACCTCTGGTGGCACATGACTCTTGCACCAGGCTCCTGATCCATTAGTTCACTCCTGGGTTTGTGCTTCTTTTCATCCACTTGCAGGGAAATCTACAGTCTTTCTGAAGTGTAAGAAACTTCCTTCAGCTTGTCTTTATCCACGCCTACTGAAAAATCTCCTCTTGTAACTTGTAACAGCTGTTGAAATTTCAGTGGGGTCTACTATCGCACACGAACACTTACAGTACAAATTTACCTTATCATCCAGCTAGTTCATTAACCTTTTTTTCCTTTCCTTGAGTGCCATGTTCCAGGGTTAACAGGGTATTAAGCATACCTGGCTAGATTAGAGGTGCCTGGTGGAAGCAGGCCTGCCCTTTCCATGTGTGTAATCAGCAGGCAATTTCAGATCATAAATATAAAACCAGAGACATGCACTTTTGCATAAGAAACCATTAGGAGCACATAAAGAAATACATCCTTCACCTTCCTTTCACCATAGGAAAGAAATGAGGTAGCAAGTTAAGCCATAAGCTTCCAGAAAATAAACACACCATCTAAACTCCAACCTGTGTTGCACAGGACTGGCTAAGGCTGTATTAGAGATGATTTCTGAAAAAAGAGAAAGTATGGGGAAAGGATAAGAAAAACTTGATTATGGGTTTGAGCCTTTTCTTTTTTAATCCTAGACATAAATTCTACTCTTTTCTGCCTTGAAAGGATCTACTTCTCATTGACCTCCTGGATGAGACCAACATTTTTCCTCTGGTGATTGGTTGCCAACATAAACTTTCAGCAGGGGTGAGGAGAGCACTAGCGGCAAACGAAGAAAAAAGAGAGTGACAACTGTGAATATAAACTATTTCTTGCAATTAGATGTATCAAAGTGTGTGTGTGTCAGTGAGAAAGTATATAAATGCAGGGTTACTGGTATGGAGGGGGACATGTAAGAGTTTGGGAACGTATGTATGAGTGAGTGAGAGTGTGGGTCACTAGCAGTATGTGTGAATCAATGTGAATACATGTGGGTCAATGTGATTATCTCAGTGGTAGTTCAGTGTCAACGTGTTCGTGTGACAGTCTGAGTCAGAGTACATGGCGGATTACAGGAGAGTGTATGACTTCCTGAACACGTGTGTCAGTGTAAGTGTATCAATGTAAGTGAGAATGTGGCATGGCAAGTGTGAGTGTGAGTCTATGTTGTCATATGGTATCAGTAATTTCCTGTGTGAAGCACAGTCAACTGACTGTTGCAATGTGAACTGTGTATGTCAGTGTGGTATGTGCTAGTGTGAATGCGAGTCAGTGACTGTGCATGTCATTATATGTTCACTGGTGCAAATGTGTGTAGCAATGTGAGGGTGTGTCAGTATGAGAGTAGAAGAGTGGGAATGTATAAGAATGTGAGTGTGCAGTAAGTGTGATTGTGCCAGTGTGAAAAGATGTGATGTATGAGTGGGGGATGGTTTGTGAGAGGGTACACATGTGCATGTACACGAATGTGGAGGAGTGCTTGTGTGTCTGTGAGAATAAGGAAATGTATAATTTTGAGTGTGCAGTTCTGAATGTGAAAGTGAGTGAATATGTGAGTGTTAAGTACATGTGCAGTATGTATGTTTATGTGAATTTGTATGAGTACTGAATGTGAATGAACCTATGTATGTGTCAGTCAACGTGAATATACCTGTGTGTGTAAGTGATTGTGCTTGAGTTTGAGAGGGTAGAGTGATGGTTGTCAGTGAAAATGGCTGAGTTTAGAAAAATATGTGTGTATGGTTGTATTTTAGAGTACGTGCCTACAAGTTTGATATAGAGTGTGATGATGTCTCAGTGTGAAGAAAGTGAGCGTGAGTGTGAATTTGTGTCAAAATGTGTGTTTCTATGTATGAATATGATTATGTGTGAATGTGTCAGGAGTAGGGACATTGTTTTAGCTCTGTGTATATGAATGCAAGAGTGTGTAACTCTAAGTGTAAAAGTGCGAGTGGGTGAGATGGTGCTTATGGTGTGAGAAAATATAAACGTGGATATATGAGCATGTATGCATGTTTGTGTCCCTGTGATGAGTTTGTGACTATGAGAAAGAAACAGTGATGATATCAATGCAAGTACACTAGAGTGTATGAAATTGAGTATATGAAGGGCTGTGAGTATAAGAAACAGTTGGAGTGTGTGCAGGGGGAATGTCAATGTATTATTTGCGTATAGAGTATATATGACTATATAGGAATTTGGGCAGGCAAAGGTGATTGTATCCTCTGTGTGAATAAAAGTGTGAAAGTGTATGACTGTGAGTGTGTAAGAATGTAATATTAATAGCATAAAGGTGTGAGTGGCTGTGAACACGAGGGTGGGGTGTATGGTGTGTTGTGTGCATCAATATGAAAATGTGAATATATGAATGTGAGTTTGTGGCAGCGTGAATGTACCTGAATGTAGCATGTATGTAAATATGATTGTGTGTGAGGGTGAGGGGGTAAGAGTGATCATCATTTTGAATGACTCCAGTATGAAAAGTGAGTGAGCCCAGGGGATAATGTGACTGTGTGAATGTACAAGAGTACAAGAATGTGCTTGTGAGAGTATGTATGTGTGTGTGCATGAACTAAAGATACCAAAATAACTGGATGCTGGGTAACTCTCTCCAGGAAGTCTCTTTCTTCCCAAAGCCACAGCATGTCTTCTGTTACAGGCAAGTTACTTAGCTTCTCTCAACCTCTTTCTCCTCCTTGGTAATACAGTGATGATGATAATACCTAACTTCAGTTAGTATCACTTGTATAATCAGAAACAGCAATAACTATTAGAAAAAAAAACAAAAAACAAAAAAACCTACTTTGCAAGATTACCATAGGAGCAAATGGTATTATGCCAGTAAAGTGCCTAGCACAGAGCTGGCAACAGTAGACAATAAATACAAGTTATTATTGCATCTGTCACAGAATACCAAAGAGCAATTCAGGGGCTTCTCATTTTAGTCAGTCCTAGTTACCTTCTGTCCGTCAAGGTCTAAAGAGGATCCCCTACCAGAACATCGCTAGAAAGTTGAATGCATCAGTATCAACAAGGCTGTAATTTCATACCTTCAATTCCATGGCTGAAACTCTGGAGCTTCCCTTTCATAAGAAGGCATCACAGAAACACCTGCCACTGAGCTGCAGTTTTACCTTGTCTGTAGGCCCATTGTATGTTCAGTGTGAAAGGGAACTACATTGCTTATTCCTTGCTTGTTTTTTTAGTTTGTTTTTCTGGCTGTTTTTTTAAAAACATTTGGTTGCTTGTTTTTTTGATTTGGGTAGTAGGAGAGATGCCTTAGCAACTGATAGACAGAAGACCAGACGGAGGGACAGCAAGCTACAAGCAGGTAGCTGGACTGCAGGGAATAGCAACAGAGGCCAGATGGAGAAGCTGACAGAAGAAGTTATAATGCCTGCCTGAAAGGCAGACAAAGAGACAGATAGATGATCAGAGAGACAGGCCATGAAACCGGAAAGAAATGCAGAGGAAGAGAGAGACGCCCAACTTGCAAAGCTGCTGGGCTGCTGGGGAACTGTTGAGCCCTTTTAAGGGAGTCTAGAGATCTGTAAGATCTAGTCCCTGCCCTTGAAGAGCTTACAATCTAGTTTTCTTGGTAAGATGAATACTCCAGAAACCATGCAAGAATTATTGAAGGCAGTAGGGCAGCAAGTGCTACACTGCACACTACAGACTCAAATGCTGTTGGAGACCTGGTGGAGGAAGTGCATCCTGGTTGGGTGGGAAAGTAGAGGGAAGGTTCGGGAAGGTTTAAACTAAGCCTGACAGGCCCAGAAGCAGGGATGCAAGGGGTGGGGGTACACTTCAAATAGGAAGGTAAAATTAAGTTCAGGGGGCAGTAGAAATCATAGGAACTTATTGGCAAATTTGCAGCATGTGGCTAAAAAGCCACCCAGGCACCAGGAAAGGAGAAAAGGAAATGACAGCTTGATGGGAAGCATGTCTGTGTTACACTAAAGCTCTTAGATGGTGCTTGACATCTGCAAAGGACTTGGCAATGATTGTTATGTTGTTTCTCCTCCTCACCCCAAAATGTAGGTCAAGGCTGTCATTCCCATATTAGAGATGGGAGGGAGGCAAGAGACTAAAGGTAGCTGTACTGGGCAAAATTCGCCAGAACATAGGGGTCATGCCCTGAAGCCTAGCTCACGAGGTCCAGGCAGAGTCTTTGATATTGGGAGATCTGGTGGAAAAGCAGCATTTGCCTGGATTTGGAGATCCCTAACTCCCTGCCCTGGACTCCATTACTCACCTCACACCGCCACGGCTGCAGGACTTCAGCACAGGTGGGCACTGCCCATGAGAAGGGTCCGGGCTGGCTTCAGCTCCTACAGACTCAGTGCTGGGCACACCAGCTGCCACAAGATGCAAGGACTCAGCTGCTCTTTCTTGGGGGAAACCTGCCGAGAGAAGCATTGTAGGGGAGAGGGAACCTCTTTCCCCAACTGCTACTGCTCCCTCATCCAACCCCCACCAAACATCACTCACACACACACACACACACACTCTCTCTCTCTCTCTCTCTCTCTCTCTCTGTCTCTGTCTCTCTCTCTCTTTCTCAATCTCTCTGGTGAATTTCAGAAAATCCCTTAAGAAAGCTAGAAAATTAGAGCGCTAAGAAGTGTAAAAAGGCATTGTCACATAGGATTACAGAAAGGGCACAGAAGTAGGAGTCAGGAGATGGGAGTTACAAGCTGAGAATTGCTGTTAGTCACCTCATCATTCTGGGCCTGCTTGGTATCAAGTGAAAAGGCCTGCCTTAGTTGCCTTGGATAAGTGTTGGGAGAACTAAATCAAATAAAACAGATGTGAAATATTTACATAATTTGCATAATTATGGAGCAATATGTATAATCACAGGAGGTGGTAGAGCCCAGTGGACAAAAGGAAACAGAGACAATGGCCAATGCAAGTTGGCTCCATGAATATGTAAGCTTCCTGATGTTGTGGCACTGAATTCAGTTCAGTTCAGTTCAGTTCAGTTCATCCCTCAACTCTAAGTCTCCACCTCCATTTCCATTCCCCTTTTCACTAACCTTTCACTGGGGAAGGGTAAAAAAAAGTCTGTCTGCCAGGCAACAATATTCTGAGGTCTCCTAATTTGCTACCATCTCACAGGTGCTAAAGGCCACAGCCTCTGATCCTAATTGGAGCTCCCCTCTACCTTCTCCTATCTCCACCAGGTAAGTCTTCCACTGCCCTCCCCAGGTTTCTTAGGGTGAATATACACTGTTTACTGTTGTTGTTTGGTGATAATTTACCCTATTTTTCCCACAGAGGTTTCCATGTCTAACCATGAAGGAGACTGAGTCTCTTTGAACCCTCCCTTTCTGCCTTTTCCCACAATCATTTGAGCCTCTCAAGGGAGAGGCTGATCTTCTCTATAGAACCTCAAGCTCTGCAATCCTTCCTACTCTGCTTTCCTTTCCCCTTCCCCCAGTGGTGTTTGTCCTCAAAGAAAAGCAGAAACTACATGCTGATACTAAAGGAGGCATGATTCAGGCTAGCACCTATTTATTAGAGACCAGAATGAACAGGGTCCTAATCCAAAGAGATGGCTAGATGGTTATCTAAACACGAAGATTGCAAAATTGAAGCCTTAGGGAGCCAAGAAAAGCCCCATGATCTCCAATTCCCCCTTCTGGAAAAAAAAAGTCCAAGCCATACTCTGGGTCTGCCTCTTGCTCTTGGGCAAGACTCCAGAGCATATCTGTCCCCCAGCATCCCTGGCATTCCATGTGTGCTTCCCACACGCACACTCCAAGCAGCCTTTCCAAATCCCACCCACTGCACCACTGAATGGTGTATTTGCCCCCTCCCTCCCTACGTGAGCTCACCCTGCAAGATCTCACCCTGCAAGAGGGTGGGGTGAGGGGGAGAGGAGTGCGAGCTACCAAAGCTCCAGAGAGAGGTAGGGCTCAAGGAGGGCACAGGAAGAATGGCCTCAAGAAGCCCCCTGCCCATCTCTGGGGATGAGGGCTGACAGCAGAGGCAGCATCCACCCATTGGGGTGGGAAACAATACTAGAGGATGTAAGAGGAGGAGGACACACCCCCAACCTGTACTACCAAGAATCTCCATGTTTTTGAGCAAGATCAAGAGCTTTCCTGAAGCCTACCTCCACCTCTCCCCAGCCCCAATTGTAGCACCACTTTTTAACTCCATGGTGGCCTGCCTTTATTTCACCACTTGCTCGAGTCAGTGCAGAATCAACTGACAGGACACGGTATTCCACCTGGTAGCCACACTCCTCTCACCTGCCTGGGGGTGTGTTGTGTTGAGAGTAGGGCAAGGGGAGATGTGTGAGCACATGTGCATACTTGGTCATGTATATCTGTGCAGTTCCCTGTACCATGTTGTATGTCTGTATATGTGTGCTGTGTCATATCTACCATGATATGTATGTATTGAGTCTGCATAATACTGTGTGTGTGTACAGTGTCCTGTTACTATCACGTTGTATACACGATCATGTCAATAAGCTACTGTGTGAGTGCTATGTGTCTGTACTGTGTTGCATGTGAATTGCATCTCTTCTATCCTTTGTGTATGTGCAATGTGTCTAATTCGTATTGTGTCATATCTCTATGCCATGCTGTGTGTCTGCATAGTGTTGTGGGCATTGTGTGCCTCTATCATGTTGTATGTCTATATCGCCTTGTTATGCACCTATGACTCAGCCTCCTGTTGGAGACTAAGGTAGAAATCAGTGCACGCATCTTGCACGTACCCAACACCCATCACCAACCCAACTCCACTCCCAGCCACCTTGCTGCATTCCAACTTCCTGCCAGAATCCCTGTCTGGGGACTAGGGCTGCCATCTTGGTGGTGGGGGTAGGTGGAAGCTATGGGCAACTACTCTTTCTACCATAGAGCCTTCCCGTGCCAAGTGTTTTGCTCAGCACGGAAGATGTCTAGGAAAGGAGGTTTGGAACCTTTTTCAGGCCCAAAGGAAACAGCACTGGGGAGGAAATTATGGGGAGCTGACTCCCTCTGTAAACCCCCAGCCCCATCCGTATATGCAAGGAGAAGGACTTGCAGGAAATGGTGGCTGGCTGAGTTTCTCTGTCAGGCTGGTTGGAAGCACTGGGAGCCTTCTCCACAGGGAGTAACCACTGCACAAGGGCACTGGCGATCAGGTTGGGCCCTGAGATGCAGGGGGAGATCTTAAAATTGTTCCCATTGAGGTCACTAGAGGGCACTATTGTGCTGATTGTTAAGGATAGTGTTTCTTTTAAGGTGCTGAATTCCACAAAGTGCCTGGGGCTCAGAGGGAGATATAGGAAGGAAAAGGATATATGACCTAAGCCAGGCCTTTCCTTCACCTTCATACCAAGACTTTCTGTTTTGAGATTGAGTTAGGGAGTAAGGGCCACTAGTGAATATATGCCACCCACCCATCCCCTCAGGTCTGTGAGACCCCCCCGCACAGAACCTTTCAGGGGCTTGGTTATAGGGTCCCTAGCAGATTATTAACTTGGACTTCTCTTTTCCCTCCTGTTCCCCATTCATCTGAAGTAAAAGTAAAGCCACACTGTTGAAAGAGATGAAATATATGTGGTTGTGGGTTGTTTTGTATTGTTTTCCCCAAAACTGGAGGGCATACAAAAAAGAAGGGGTAATTTTTCTGACAGGGAAAGAAGAGGGCTATACTTTAGTGGACCTGTCTTCATTACCAAGAATAAATGGACCACCCTATAGAACAACTACTGCCAACTTCATCGTTTGAAAGACAAGGAAACTGAGGCCTAGAGAGGGGCAAACACACTGTCTGGAACCCCTAAACACAACCGGGGTCCCAAACTGTCACTGTCTGGGACAGTGTGTTTGGGAGTCCCAGACCAGACCCTACCCCTCCAGAACACTTGACTTCTGACTCCCAGGGTTCATTCCACCCCAGTTCCTGGTCCTTTGGCCCCTAAAAATCTTCACTCTCCAAATTCAGCCCCTTCCAACCTCAAAGAAAAACTCTGGCCTCCCTCTCCACCATGTGGGTTCCAAGGCCATCCTATTCCATCTCAGCAATCAGGCCTCTCTGTGACCACACCTTTCTAATGATTTCCTCTTCCCACCAGTAAATTGTTACTCTCTTTCCAGTTTTCAAAGTCCATCTCCCCATTATGTTTCCCAGACTCAGACCCAGCTGTAGCTGCACCGTTTTGCTCCTCATTGCATCCCCTGGGTTTAGCACAGATTGCTCCAACCTGCAGATAATTGACCAAATGTGGAACTCAGACACAGATCTATTGCATTGATTAACATTTCCAATTAAACTCCTGGTTAGGCTGTGTGTATTAGTGACTCAAATAATCACCGCACATGTAAATGCAAATGCCTTCCAAAGCCACGGAGCGCGGTAGGAAGCGACGCATATTTGGGAGGAAATGGCAACAGACTGCCAGACCCGGAGGTTCATTTGGTCCTCCGGTAACCCTAAATGAGATTTTAAATGTGTGGCTGTTAGTTGATCCGAGGCTTAAGCATCACACCTGAAATGGAGGATTCGGGTTCTGCGCGTCGCTGCAGGCCCTTTTCCGCCCCCTGCTGGAGAAGCTGTGTAGTGCCGAGTTGGCAGACAGTCCACCCCAGGCCCTGCAGAGGGAAACGCCTAGACCCCGTCAGGTGGGGGTGGGGGTGGGGGACGCGTAGCGGAGGCTTAAGTTATGCCCCAGATGCCTAGACTGCTGCACTTACCTTCCAAAGTAAAGGTTTTACACAGTTCCCTGCGCGCACAGGGTCCCCAGGGATCCTGAGAGGGAGGGCTTTTTTTTTTTTTTTTTTTTTTTTTTTTTTTTTTTTTTTTTTTTTTTGAGCAAGGGTCCCAGACCAGGCCCCAACCCACCCATGTAAAAGCAGTCAACCTACCTGTCTAGGCCAGATTGATAGCGCCTCCACTTCCCTTTGGGACACTGTCCTTCCCCACTCCCCTCTCCTTACCCAGGAAGAAAGAGCCAGTTGTTGAGGCTGCTGCTCATTGAGTTTCTTGTTCTCTTGGTTAAAGCTACTGGTTCCTGACGGTGAGTTGCATGGGTGGGGATGCTGTTGATTTTAAATATCTAGAATCATCCTTCTAATTCTTGGCTGAGCTGCAGCTGCCTCAGCCACCAAAGTTTCCTATCCCACCAGAGAATTCAGGGCTTTTGGGTTCTTGGTAAGGCCATGACTTTTCTTCTCTCTCTCTTTCTAGTTTGCTCCTGCCTTCCTGCCTACTCCATCTGATCTGTAGATCTGATTTTTCTTTTCTTTTTTTTTTTTTTTTTTTGCCTTGGCCACATTCTTTAACCTTAATTTAGTAGCTTAGTCTCTGAACACAAATAGCAAAGTCTCTGATGTCAGCACCTCCCCATCCCTGCAGTTCTTTTTATTTCTCGTTTCCCTCACCTGGTATGTCCACTACTCACCCTCTCCCAAGACCTCAGCAAACTTGTTTGCTCTATATACCATTTCCACCTCTGACCAGGAAAATCTACAACCTGTGGGAATCGTTAACTAGTCAGAATATCCCTAGGGTCCTGTGTCCCCTAGCTTATAACCCTATTGCATGTGAACCTCCTTTTCCTGTCAGGTCTCTCCTACAAGGCCCACGTGGCTGTCCAGAGGCTTGCAGGGTCAGCTCCTTGACATTCTAAGGTCTCTCTGACCTCAGGATTCTCGGCTGTCAGCTCTTGACCAGGCTACCTCCTAGTCTCTTCCCATTTTGCTTGTTGCATGAGCTGGGGGATATGACACTTGTATCCAGAAACAGAGGCTTACAAATGGCTCTCTCTCCAAGCCTCCGCCTGTTAGTCATTCATTACCATATCAAGCCTCTTTGCCCAAAGTTGCCCCTGATTGGAGGCCTCAAGTACCAAATCACAGATCTTGTCCAATTAAAATTTTGCAAATGGCCCAGTGAAAACCGCACTGACCTTTACACCTCGCTCATCCCAGAACAGGGCCACGGTGTTGTCACCAACAGGAATGGACCTCCTTCTGTTCCAATACCTCAGACAGCCATACACTTGGCCTGGATTTGAGTCTGCAAAACCATGAGGGGAGCAAGACTAACATGGCTAAAGGCTTCCCTGCTGAAAGCCGTTTTTTAAAAATAGCACTGCAACCGCCCCCATCATGCTTCCCAAAGCCAAGCCACTCACCCTTCTCTCCTTCGCTTCTACAGACCGACGGCCCAGAACCCTCAAGTCTAGAATCTGGAACGGGATTCTGAAAGGTGGGACCAAAAAAAAAAAAAAAAACAAGTGGGGCCTCTATCTCTCTCCTTGCCTGAATCCCCCTCTTCCCACCATCCCCCACCCCACCCCACCCCTTAACCACCACCTAGGGAAGGGAAACTTGCCAGAGCAAGAATCTAAAATGTTCAGTTCACGCAAAAGTGCGGCAATAATCTTGCCAGAGCCAGTTCACAAACTGAGGGCAATGTCCCCCAGCGAGCTAAGGGGAAGAGGGGAGAAGGAGAGGCAGTGGACCCAATGACACTGCTCCCCAGACAAAGACAGGGCCAATCCAGGGACCCCGAGCTTTCTGGGGACGTTATTGCATCATTCCAATCCCCACAGGAGAAGAAAAGAGTCCCCCTGTTATTACCATCTCCCCACCAAAAAAGGGGAGGGCGATAAACAAAAATAAAAGAAAGAGGGGAAGGCACCCATTTAAGAAAATCGTCACTTTTTCTCTTTTCTCGTGTGTGTGTGTGTGTGTGTGTGTGTGTGTGTGTGTGTGTGTGTGTGTGTGTAGGGGGCGGGGGGTTCTGCCCTGGACTTGGCCAGACCATGGCCACACCCCCTCCCCTTCTCTAGGGAACTGCTGTCACAGCTACCGGGGCTGGGTAGGGGGGCGGGGGGCGAAAGGGAAGACTTACAGGCTGACGTAGCTTTCAAGGCGGGTTTTGCCTCAAGTGGCCCAGGCCCCAGTAAACGAGTCTAGGGTTTGACCAAGCGAAGGAGCCCCGGCCCTCTGGGAACGGCCCTGACACACCCACTTGTCCGCGAACCGGGATCAAGCAAACTGCTCGCTTGGTCTCAGGGCTCCGGGGAGCCACGTAGGAGACTCGAGGCTGGGGCACAAACAGGACAGGAGGGGGATCCGGAAAGGCAGAACATCTGCCCAGCAGCCTTAAAGCACCATCCAACAGCCACCCCCTCCCCCGCGCTAGCCCGGGTGCAGTTAGTCGCGGGATTTACCTGCCACGGATCCAGCCACCGAGTCAAGACCTTTCCTCTACCTCCGAGAGCTCCAGCTGGCGGGGCTGGGGAGCCGCAGCCCCGCGGCCGAAGCCGCAGCCCCGGGCCCAGCCCGCTCCCCCTGGCTCTTCTCCCGCCCCCGCACACTGGCTCGAGGCGGGGAAAAACTGCAGCCCCCAGTTCGAGATCCCAGACGGTTAGCTGGCACAGCTGCCCGCCCGCGGTAGAGCCCCTGCTCGGCAACCGCTCCCTAGCCGTTCTCTGCTATGACGTCACCCGAGCTCTGCACCTTACCTAGGCCAATCAGATGGTGAGCATAAAACTAAAATCGCCCTGAGTGGGCTACTGGGGACCAATCTTTTGTTTCCAGGCAGGAAGCGCCTGGGAGGGGGAAAAAACTGAAGGGGAGGGAACATGGAGAGGGAAAGGGAGAGGAGATGGAAACTTCTACACTGTCAGGGTTGTCTAGACAGAGGTGGGGCCATCCAAAAAGAGGGGCACCTGACAGGATGGAGAGGAGGGGAGAGTTCATTTATCTTTCTTAATTGCTCCCCTCAGGAAAATTGAGATTTCAGATGAATTTTCGGGGGACGAAATCTGTCCAGCTACACGGGCACGCTTTATTCGGGGGAAAAAATTGTTTCGATTTGGGACACCACCTGTCAGCCAGGCAGGTTAAACTGATGGAATCTCTAAAATACACAGAAAACTAAGAGAGGCAGATGTGGCAGTGGAATTCAAAGAGATGGCAATCTAGATCGGGAAACTACTTTTTTGCATACGAAGTACACACATTCCAAAAAGCACGGAATTATACAAAAAATAAAAATAACTCTACTTCAAATGGAGTTTAAATGTGATTCTCTCTGTCCATCCTTTCCCTTAAACCTTCAAAGCTTTCTCTTGTCTTTAGGATTCGGTTCAAATTTTTGCAGATGTCCAAAGCTTTCTAAAATCTAACTCCAAAAATAATCTCTTGCTACTCCAAAATCCATACTCTCCATGATTTGGCTAGGTTATGTAAATTATGGTGAATTCCAGCAAGGAGACAGTAAGCTGCCATAAAAAGTCAAATAATACAAAACAACAAGGACATTCAAATTGTAATGATGTAAAATATGCCTACAGAAAACGATCAGAAGAGGACATAAAATTGTAATAGTTGGGTTAAACTAGTAGTATTATGAGTAACTTTTTCTTTCTACTTTCAAATTTATTTTTATAAAGATAAATATATCCTCACATACTTAAATGACCAAAATAGATCGTGACCCTTCCCAGTGAGCTTTTATTCAATTTTCTCTACACTATATAACATCCAGCAATAATTTCTCCATAATGCCAACAAAATAGGTTCCAAGAACAAGAGTGAACTAATATATCTGCCCAGGTCCTTTTAGTAAAAGTCATACAAAAGAGCTACAGATGACCAGACGCGGTGGCTCACGCCTATAATCCCAGCACTTTGGGAAGCCCAGGCGGGTGGATCACCTGAGGTCAGGAGTTCAAGACCAGTCTGACCAATATGATGAAACCTTGTCTCTACTAAAAATACAAAAATTAATGGGGCGTGGTGGCATGCGCCTGTAATCCCAGCTACTCGAGAGGCTGAGACAGGAGAATCGCTTGAACCCAGGAGGTGGAGGTTGCAGCGGCGAGCCAAGATCCCGCCACTGCACTCCAGTCTGAACAAGAGCAAAACTCCATCTCCAAAAAAAAAAAAAAAGCGCTACAGATTCGCCAGACATAACATCTCAGCATCTCAGGCAGTTGAAGAATGGGATGCCTCTTTTGGACTAATTCATTTTAAATTGTGATGATATAGGGAATTGAGAAAAACAACAATGATCCACTCTATGGCAAAACAAGAAAGAGGGAGGCAAAGACTAAGTAAACTATATAATTCAGACTATTTTAAGGGTCACTTTGCATTTTATTTTCCTAAATTCAAAATATATGTATTAATGCATATATGAGTATTACATTAACATTGTAGAAAGTGGTAGAGCTGGGATTTATATCTAAATGAGTCCAATGTCCATGCTTTTTCTAATATGATACAGTTTACTACTGCTAAGAATTAAATGTGGTATTACTGGTTTTCTTAAAATACATACTTGCTGTAAAAGAAACAGACTATGTAAGACTGGCATTTTTAAAAAATCAGGCATTTTTAAAAATAGCTTTTTTGGTGTGGTGGTTGTCTTTAATGCAAAAATATCCAACACCCTCACGCTCAAATCCTTGATTAATAGGTTGGAATCAGGATGGTTCTGACTCCAGTGATTTTACAGATATCTTTTTAATTAACTTTGGAGTAAAAAAAATAAGCAACCACATCCCATTGATTTTTTTTTTTTTTTTTGCACCATGGTAAAAATAATCTAAAAAAATCACAAATCAAAATGAATGTAATTTATTCAATGTTAACATCTCTGATTTGTAAAATGCATTTATTTGGGTCAAACAAGAACCTTTTTTAAGAAATAGAAAAATATAACTGGATTTTCCTGGCTAATGATTTAACTTGGGTCTTCTAGGCTATTGATTTAAATTTTAATTAGAAGGTGTTCGATTTCACTCTAATCCTCCCATATACCTCAGCTATAACTCAGAGCTATTTATGCAGTCACCACATATGGTTATTTAAACGTTTCATGGGTGTATTTCTTCTCTCCCTAGTGATTATAGAAAGTAGTATGTGGACAAAATCCTATTAGGTGATTGACAAATTAAAGCATAGTAATGTCATAGAAAGAGGACTGGACTTAAGACCCAAGCCTAGGGTCTTCCTGTGAAAGGGTGATAACCTATATTATTCTTAATACAAGAAAGCAGTCTTTACTGTCAACATGGTTTGTTCTCCAAGAATATAGGGCAACTGCATGAGAGATCTCAGGGAAGGGATTCTAATCTGAAATATCTTAAAGATTTCATCTGTGTAATTTTTCCCACTCAACTCACCATTTTTACCACCCAACTCACTGTTCTCTTGCTTGGGAGTTCTTCGATTTAAGGGTATTACAACACTACCATCATAACCACTTGGCATGTGTATCCTACTTCTCAGGTTACAAACCACTTTTGTATCTTCCCATTTGATCCTCACAACAACCATAACAGTTTACTATGACAATTATTATGATCTGCATTTCATAGATGAGAGAATGGAGACTCGAGGGTTTGAAGTTACCTGTCCAATGCTTCACAGAGATGGTCCTGGAAACCAGGTCTCCAACTCTCAGTTCTATGTTTGTTCTGCCACCCTATATGGCCACTTGAGTTGTATTTCTTCTCTGGGTCTCACCAATCCAACTAGCCCCTTGATTCACATGAGAAGTGAGAAGTGCCGGGATGGGGCTTGTAACAACAGAAGTAAACTGAAATGAATATCTTCAAATGTTTCATCCCAATCCTGCATAAAAGGAACATTGCTCACTCTCATATACAATTGATGGGAGTGTAAATGGCACAACCTTTTGGGAGCACAAGTAGGTAATACTTATGAAATTTTAAAATGCATATGCCACTTGACCCAGCAATTCCAACTCAAGGAATTTGCTTATGAATATATTCATAAAAACATGTCAAGAAATGTTGAAATATGTTATGCTGAATATTATGTAAGAATGAAAAATAATACGTAAAAGGTAGCCTAAATGTCTCTCAGTAAGGGAATTGTTGTTTTTTTAGCCACTTTGTCAAATATGATTGCCGTGTAAAAAGCTGTACATATTTAATGTATACAACTCTATGAGTTTGGGAATAAGTATACACCTGTGAAACTATCACCACTATCCAAGCCATGGACATATCTATCAACTCCCAAAGTTTTCTCCTGCCCAAGTAAGGGAATCATTAAATAAATTATGTGGTAGATACATATTTTGAACTGTTATGCATCAGCTTAAAAAATCAAGTGTATAAACCCCTATGTACTGAAATAGTAACACTCCTTGACCCATTCTTGAGTGAAAAAAATGCAGAACAGCACGTGTATTATGATTTTATTTTTGTTTAAAAAATTGGGTGTACATGTGTGTTTTAACTGCTAAAGGGGACACTCTGGGAATAAAAGAGGGTAGGAAAGACATGTGGGTATGTGTATATGATGGGGGACATTAACTCTTTTCTTTAAATACTTCTGTGTTGTTTGTATGTTTTTACCATAAGCATGTACTATATTTTACTTGTAAGAAACATCATTAAAAGGGGAAATAGGAAATACAGTCTTATTTTGGTTAAGACGAAAGCAAGCAAACTACACCTGCTATCCTGAAAGAGGTCTGAATGCCAGGTCAATGATTCAGGTGTAGCAATCAAGGCTATGGTGTGCCAGACTGAGCTGAGCCATACCTGGGCAGGCACTGAATGCAAGGCAGTAATGAATAACCCACTGGGCAAAAGCAACCCAGATTTCCTTGCTCCCTTCCCATCCTTGCCTCAAGTCCTACAACCAGAAGTTGCTCCCAGTAGTGGACTCTGGGTCTGTGTGGATCTCAGTCTTCACATCTTTTGCTATAGCAGCTGCACTAAAAAAAAAAAAGAAAAAGAAAAAGTCCCCACTCTTTCTCTGAATACAAAAGAACCTGGGGTTTGGCAGCTGATGCACAGCATTGGCTAGGAGCACAGTGCCTACTCCTCCTTCACTCAGGGCCGCTCATTACAGCCTGTTGCCATTACTGCAGTCTGGTACAATGGAGCCCCTTCCTGCCTGCCTCCCCATGTCCATCATTGGGGTCTCAAGCTCTTCTGTGGCAGGCAGCATTGTAGGTTACCTGCTGGGCAAAGAGCAAGGAGCATCAGAGATGCCAAGAGGTCTTGTCCTAGGTCTCTGAAAAATCAGAGGTGAGGGAAAGAGGAAAGCCCATGGCTGGGAAATTACTATTCTCTTGGGTCTTCAGAGTTCTTTCCTGGAAATCAGGAAACCCAGGTTATATTCTAGCCTCTGGAGAGGAAATCCTGAACAAGACTCAAATTTTGCTGGGCACTAGTTTTCTCCTTCGTCGAATCCGCCTTGCCTATCTCCTTGGATTGTTGTATGGATACAAACAGCTAATGGAACAAAAGCAGATTTAGCAGATTTTTGAGCTATACATCTCCTTAACAGACTTGATGAGTCGCATTTACATATGCTCCCTAAATGGTGGCAGCTTGGGAATGAAGGATTTCTCCTGACCTTCTTTCACTACAATTATCCCCCGTTAGAGACCTGCCCTGTAGAACTTAGGAGCTTTCTGAAGCCCCCAGCTTTTGCCCTCTTCCCTT